TTCCAGCCAATAAGATAATGTGTGCACAGTATTTCTTATGTACTTGTAATGTCCGCCTTCGCAGATGGGACGGCAGGCCAACGCGCTCGTGGTGGCGGAAAGCGCAACGGCGGCAGGGCTGCCGCGGCCAAGGGCGGTCCCTTGGGCAGGCAGTCGCAGGATGCGGATGGGGGCGACAAGGGGGATCATGCCGAGCCGGTCACTACCCGTGGTGGCGGAAAGCGCAACGGCGGCAGGGCTGCCGCGGCTAAGGCCGATCCCTCGGGCAGGCCGGCGCAATATGCGGATGGAGGCGACGAGGGGGATCATGCCGAGCCGGAAGCTCGTGGTGGCGGAAAGCGCAACGGCGGCAGGGCTGCCGCGGCCAAAGGCGGTCCCTCGGGCTTGCAGGATGCGGATGGGGGCGACGAGGGGGATCATGTTGAGCCGGTCACTACCTGTGGTGGCGGAAAGCGCAACGGCGGCAGGGCTGCCGCGGCTAAGGCTGATCCCTCGGGCAGGCCGGCGCAGGATGCGGATGGAGGCGACGATGGGGATCATGCCGAGCCGGATCATGCCGAGCCGGAAGCTCGTGGTGGCGGAAAGCGCACCGGCGGCAGGGCTGCCGCGACCAAGGGCGGTCCCTCGGGCTCGCAGGATGCGGATGGTGGCGACGAGAAGGATCATCCCGAGCCAGAAGCTCGTGGTGGCGGCATGCGCAACGGTGGCAGGGCTGCCGCGGCTAAGGGCCGTCCCTCGGGCAGGCAGTCGCAGGATGCGGATGGTGGCGACGAGAAGGATCATGCTGAGCCGGAAGCTCGTGGTGGCGGCATGCGCAATGGCGGCAGGGCTGCCGCGGCTAAGGCCGATCCCTCGGGCAGGCCGTCGCAAGATGCGGATGGAGGCGACGAGGGGGATCATGCCGAGCCGGAAGCTCGTGGTGGCGGCATGCGCAACGGCGGCAAGGCTGCCGCGGCTAAGGGCGGTCCCTCGGGCAGGCAGTCGCAGGATGCGGATGGTGGCGACGAGAAGGATCATGCCGAGCCGGAAGCTCGTGGTGGCGGCATGCGCAATGGCGGCAGGGCTGCCGCGGCTAAGGCCGATCCGTCGGGCAGGCCGTCGCAAGATGCGGATGGAGGCGACGAGGGGGATCATGCCGAGCCGGAAGCTCGTGGTGGCGGCATGCGCAACGGCGTTAGGGCTGCCGCGGCCAAGGGCGGTCCCTCGGGCTCGCAGGATGCGGATGGTGGCGACGAGAAGGATCATGGTGGCTTCAAGTGGGGCGACCGTGGCCTGTATGTTCACGAGTCAGGATTTGAGGCGTTCAAGGGGACGGCCGCGCCTGACGAGGAGAAGAAGGACTTGAAGGAGGAAGAGTAGGAGGTGTACGACGCGGATGACTTGAAGACGGATGACGAGGAGGATGACGAGGATCAGGAGGAGGACGAGGAGGAGGAGGAGGAGGAGGGGGAGGAGGAGGAGGAGGAGGAGGAGGAGGAGGAGGATGAGGAGGAGGAGGAACAGTGGGGGCAGGAACGGAGGAAGAGCAAAAGGCACAAGAGATGCAAAAGCAGGGGAGGCAAGAGGGATGAGCAAGAGGATGAGGAGGAGGAAGAGGAGGAGGATGTGAAACGGGGGGGGCGGGAGATTAGGAAGGGCAGAAGGCAGAAGAGAGGGAAACTCAGGGGAGGCAGGGGGGAAGAGGAAGAGGGTGGGGAGGAGGAGGAGGGGGAGCAGGAGGATGAAAATCATAGGGGGCAAGAGAGGAGGAAGGGCAGAAAGCACAAAAGAGGCAGAGGCAAGGGAAGCAGGAGGGAAGAGGAAGAAGAGGAAGAAGTGGAAGAGGAGGAAGAGGATGAGCATGAGGATGAGAAGGGGGGGGACCAGGAGCGAAGGAGGGGCAAAAGACACAAGAGTGGCAAACGCCGGGGAGGCAAGAGGGTGAAGCGATGGGGCGACTAAACAAGAGGGGCAGCAGATGAGGCATGAGTGGAGTTTACAAGGGGGGGGCAGCAGGATAGGCATCACACACTTGCGAGGAGACATCAAAACGGAGGTAGAGGCATTGGTGGAGACAGCAAGGGGGGCAGCACGCCAGGCAAGAAAGTAGAGTCAGCATGGGGGGTAGCACGGGCGGCAAAAGCGTGGAGTCAGCAAGGGGGGCAGCAGTAGAGACAATGTGAGGAGTGTCCAAGGGTGGGCAACCAGCAAGGCAACCAGATAGTGCAAGAGGGTGCAGCAGAAAAGGCATGAGTTGAGAGAGTTGGGGGGGCAGCAGAAAAGGCACGAGCAGATAGAGGGGAGTGCACAAGGGGGGCAGCAGGTTAGGCATGACTGGAGCAAGCAGCAGTAAAGGCATGACTGGGGAGCGCCAGGGGCGGAGCAGCAGACGCATGAGAGGGCAGAGCATGCAATGAAGCAGTGGACGCAGGGGCACGCTCGACCTAGAGCACCAGAGATGGGGTTCGGTGGAAGACATAGCGTACTGGAGCATGCTAAGCAGGTCGTAGGATGATGCAGCTCAACCTAACTGACTAGGCACAGAGGGTTTAGGATGCTGTTTTATGTGCGTTTTTAGGGTGGAATTATCAGCTTTTACCAAAGCTTCTGTACTGTTCATTTTGAATGCAAGATTGAGGCAACTTAACATAGTTTTAAATTACATATAAGGTCGTGCAAGTCTCCTACATAAGCTTATTTTAATGAGCCCGAAATTCCATAAAGAGTACATTGCAATGAGATCCGATCTTCGAAATTGCTCTGCGGAAACTTGTACCAAACTTCTTCCGAAGGTGTTCACCTGGCAGGTTTGAACAGAAAAGCATTGGAGAAGCATTTGAAAAGAGTTCGAGAAAGCATTTGGAAAGCAACCTATACTTTCTCAAAAAAGCGTTCGAAAAACGTCGTTCAAGAATCATTCGACAAAACTCCAAAGCAACTTTTTTCATCGGTTTTCCGGATGCAGGATTTTTGTGATGCGGAAAGGACCCAGGTTAACAATGCGGTTAGTCACAATCTGAGTGCGGTCAGAGGCTTTGATTGCCTGGGTGAGTGGTAGCGGGAGTGGCTGAACCAGCACGGAATTAACAATGCTACGAGAGGCAAGAATATTATAAGGTGTCAGCATGCATCAAGGTGGTCGTAGTTTTTTGGCGGTGTGCAAGCAAGGAATTCGCTATGTAACATTTAGTTGGCCCGCTCTGATCATCAGAAAATACGATCACCATGATTCGTAGGCTGTGAGCCTCAGGCTCGCACGCAATGCGGACCGCCAACGGGGGAAAAGATTGGGAGGCTTACCTCTGATTAGGGTTTCAGCGCGTTTCCGCGGCTCTTGAAGCGACTTAGCAGCGGCGCGAGAAATTTCTGCAGTGCGTGCTGCGTGGTGGCGAAGCTAATGATTTCGAGAGTGCTGTGAGAAGCTTGTTGACACATGCTTGGAGTGGGAACGAAACGGGATCATCACCCAGCACTCAAATCTCGACTCGAGTTGTCACGGTTGCCAATTGCGTTTCTTAGCAGTTACCACTGCAAATAGTTCGTAATCGTTCTCAGTTCGTCCGAGAAAGTGCCTTGATTAGTACGAATTGAGTCGCCTCTAGTCTCGATGGCACTGCTCCTGCCGTCACCTGTTACACACTCGACATTTACTTTCGCTCAGGTGACGACATTTGCGCTGCACATTCAGCATCTTTTGTACACTCTTCGTCGAATCAGGTGAGGATGGTAACCCAGCTTCAAAGAAGGAAACTACGAGAGCCGAATTTCTGTGGATAAAAAGCTGCTCGTGCTTTCATACTGTCAAGCACACACGACAGGACGCGACGCTCACATGCCATCGCAGGATCGTGGTCGCCACAGAAGCGCTACTACTACTACTACTACTACTAGTTATCGCAAGCGCGCCGCGTAGCAGCTACCAGCCATCCTGCTACTAGTAACCCTCCTCTCGTCACGCTACCTTTCTCGTCTTTTCCCCCCTCCTTCAGAGTGAAATTCACAACTGCGTTCTCGCTTCTATGTTTCCAAGCCCATAGTATTCTCTCCAGTAAGATTCACATCGCGCGTTTCAGATCGTTTGGCGTGTCCGGCGCCTGTTGCTGAGCTTAGAGCCAAGTGCATGCGCTAGTCTGCTCAAACCCTCATCACCTCCGTGCTCCCCTTGCATGCCTCTAGCTGTGACGATCGTCTGCTCTAGGCCCCAGACTTTGCCTCGTCCCTCTCCCTCCTCAACCAATTTTTTATGCTCGTAGACTGCTGTCAGGTTCTTCGCGGTAGCACAACCCGCAACCTCATAGTACTGCGTGAATGGAAAGCTAGACATTGTAACAAGGAAGTCAGATAATGAAGGGGCCCGAGGGGGCGATCGTACTGGCTGATTCGACTAAAACCCCCGACGAAACAAATTTTGCGGAGTTAGTAACAGCAGATAAGACGGCCGAGATCGTAAACGAGTATCGCAAAAATAATGCGTCGACGGCGCGAGATGTTGTTGATTCCAGACGTGTCTCGTCATCCGGTGACGAATCGAATAGCGACTGCGATGTTGAGCCATACGCAAACAAGGGCATATCATCCCCTCCGAAACCAAGGGATAAGCGCGTGAAGCGCTTAGATGATCTCGTTCCCAAAGGCGGCCAGAAAGGTACGTGTTTATGGTCGCAGATGCGGAATATTCTACTTGTATGCATGAAACGATGCTTGTAGTCGTGTCTGACCTGTTGGAGGTTATCGTCTCTCCAATTGTGTTTCCACATCAGCGTCAGCGGACAAGTGTGACAACCGGGGGGGGCGTAAGCACCGTCCAAGAAAAAGAGGCACTCGTTCACATCGTGAGGAAACGCCTGCGTCTGAAGGCGATGAGGAGGGCAAAGACGGGGGACCTGATAGCTTAGGTATGCTGTGGGTGTGATATCGACGGTTTATATTTTGCATGTTACTCATTACAATGACGCCGCATGTCATGCTGCAACTTCCAGCCAATAAGATAATGTGTGCACAGTATTTCTTATGTACCTGTAATGTCCGCCTTCGCAGATGGGACGGCAGGCCAACGCGCTCGTGGTGGCGGAAAGCGCAACGGCGGCAGGGCTGCCGCGGCCAAGGGCGGTCCCTTGGGCAGGCAGTCGCAGGATGCGGATGGGGGCGACGAGGGGGATCATGCCGAGCCGGTCACTACCCGTGGTGGCGGAAAGCGCAACGGCGGCAGGGCTGCCGCGGCTAAGGCCGATCCCTCGGGCAGGCCGGCGCAATATGCGGATGGAGGCGACGAGGGGGATCATGCCGAGCCGGAAGCTCGTGGTGGCGGAAAGCGCAACGGCGGCAGGGCTGCCGCGGCCAAAGGCGGTCCCTCGGGCTTGCAGGATGCGGATGGGGGCGACGAGGGGGATCATGCCGAGCCAGTCACTACCCGTGGTGGCGGAAAGCGCAACGGCGGCAGGGCTGCCGCGGCTAAGGCCGATCCCTCGGGCAGGCCGGCGCAGGATGCGGATGGAGGCGACGAGGGGGATCATGCCGAGCCGGAAGCTCGTGGTGGCGGAAAGCGCACCGGCGGCAGGGCTGCCGCGACCAAGGGCGGTCCCTCGGGCTCGCAGGATGCGGATGGTGGCGACGAGAAGGATCATCCCGAGCCAGAAGCTCGTGGTGGCGGCATGCGCAATGGCGGCAGGGCTGCCGCGGCTAAGGCCGATCCCTCGGGCAGGCCGTCGCAAGATGCGGATGGAGGCGACGAGGGGGATCATGCTGAGCCGGAAGCTCGTGGTGGCGGCATGCGCAACGGCGGTAGGGCTGCCGCGGCCAAGGGCGGTCCCTCGGGCTCGCAGGATGCGGATGGTGGCGACGAGAAGGATCATGCCGAGCCGGAAGCTCGTGGTGGCGGCATGCGCAACGGCGGTAGGGCTGCCGCGGCTAAGGGCGGTCCCTCGGGCAGGCAGTCGCAGGATGCGGATGGTGGCGACGAGAAGGATCATGCCGAGCCGGAAGCTCGTGGTGGCGGCATGCGCAATGGCGGCAGGGCTGCCGCGGCTAAGGCCGATCCCTCGGGCAGGCCGTCGCAAGATGCGGATGGAGGCGACGAGGGGGATCATGCCGAGCCGAAAGCTCGTGGTGGCGGCATGCTCAACGGCGGTAGGGCTGCCGCGGCCAAGGGCGGTCCCTCGGGCTCGTAGGATGCGGATGGTGGCGACGAGAAGGATCATGCCGAGCCGGAAGCTCGTGGTGGCGGCATGCGCAACGGCGGCAGGGCTGCCGCGGCTAAGGGCGGTCCCTCGGGCAGGCACTCGCAGGATGCGGATGGTGGCGACGAGAAGGATCATGCCATGCCTGCATGCTGTGACGTTAACGATCATGATGAGGACGAGCCAGCAGCACTGACTGATGGGAAAGGTGGACGTGAAGCTGTGATTCCGTACCAACGGCGCAAGGCTGTGGATCCGGGCAGTTGCGACCATAAGGCGAGACAAGCTCGGCACGGCCCCAATGTGCACGCTTCGAGCTCGTCTGGTTCCGAGGAAGATTCGAGCGACAGTGAGTCGGGCAGCTCATCCGGGAGTGAGGAGGTATACGAGGACGAGGATGAGGAGGAGGAGGACGAGGATGATGAGTTGGAGCCGGAGAGCGAGGATGGGGAGGAGGCTCGGCCTTTGAAGAGGAGGAGTGTGCGGAAGCTCAAGAAGGGCAACGCTAAGCAAAAATCGGAGAGGGGACGGGTGAAGAGCTGTAAACAGAGTGTAAGTCGTGCCAAACCACATGGCAAGCGCCAGAGACCTCGATTCGAAGCTAAAATTGTGGGTGTGCGTAGCAAGGCGAAGCGGGAGTTGATTTTTTACGAGTCCATGGGGATACGATGTACATCAAGCTCTCATGATCGGCAAGCCGCGGACCCGTACGCTGCGTTACGCGATCCGATGGGTTCGGCTGGGAAGGGAGATCCGATGGCTTGGGGGTCAGCGCGGTTTGGCAGGGAAGTGACGGACCCGCCCCCCAACCATATGGGGGGTCGCGCGGTTCATGTGAAAAACGAGGGGGCAACGAAGCGGCACGAACCCTCGGCAGCTGCAGCAGCGAATGACGGTGTGGGAGGAGGTGTGTGGGCGAATGCCTTGGGTGAATGTGGCGGCGGTGTGGAAGGCTCCATGTGGGATGTACGGGAGAGCAGGGGAGAAGGGGGGGACGAGAAAATGGATCCGGCGACTAAGGAGGGGAGGGGAGAGAGCATGGGCACACCTGGCGCATCCAGTCGGCCGGATGTGGCTGGCGGCAGGACTGTGGAGCAGCTCATGCGAGAGCTTGCCCAGCGGGATCGCGAAATCGCTGCACTCAAGGCAAGGCCAGGATCAGAAGGACCTGTCAAGCCCTGCACCCCTCCATCTAGGCCTCCTCCTCTAGCGTCTCTGTCGAGCGGACCATCTGTAGGGGGCCTCGATCCAGGCGTGGCGCCAGAAAGCCCAGCGACGGTAGACGTACCGCTCCGTCGAACGCGTGGGATGCCCACACCCAAGCTGCTGAAGGTGAGATTGTTTTAGTGTTAAACAATGTGTTGCATGGGGCTTAGTGATAGCTGCAGCTCTCTCTCTCAACCCCTCTTGCTGCTGGTAAGCGTGTTTGTGGCATTATGCGCAGTGATAGCGGCATGTCTGCAGTGGGATAGGCATTCCCAGTACGCCTCGCTTCAGGGACGTGGCGCTGGGCGTACGATGCTCTCACATTCTGCCCCCGACCCCTAGCTCACCATAGCAGTTATCCATCCTCTTTTGGCCCCTCTCTCCCATCCCTTCCCACCCTAAACCAGAGCCCCTGTTCATGGTGCTGGTGCTGGTGTGGGTGGCACGCGGCGCAAGGATAGCTCATTGTAGCAGTTATCCTTCCTATCCCTCCCCCCTCTCTCCCATCCCTCGCCTAGCTCTTCCAGAGCCCCTGTTCCTGGTGCTGGTGGTGGTGTGGGTGTCATGCGGCAGAGGGATAGCTAAGAATAGCAGTTATCCTTCATCTCACTTCCCTCTCTCTCCCATCCCTCCCCTCCCTCTACGAGAGCCCCTGTTGATGGTGCTGGGGGTGGTGTGGGTGTCATGCGGCGGAGGGATAGCTAAGCATAGCAGTATTCCTTCATCTCACTTCCCTCTCTCTCCCATCCCTCCCCTCCCTCTGCGAGAGCCCCTGTTCCTGGTGCTGGTGGTGGTATGGGTGTCATGCAGCGCAAGGAATAGAGGAAGCCGTATCCGTCAACCCCACGCGGCCCCCTTTCTGTCCGCCGCTCCTCCCTCCCCTCTCTATCCCGTCCCTCTCCCTCCTCGTCCAGAGCCACTATAAAAGGTGCTGCTGGTCACGCGTGTGGCATGCGGCGTAGCGTGCAGGGGGGTGGCTGCAGTGGAAGTTGAGACTCCTCGTACGAGGAGAACATGAACCCTCGCGCTGGGCGTACGGTGCCCTCTCACTCTGCCTACTCTCCCGTCTTTCGCTCTGACTATTTAATCCCCTCTCTCTCCCCTCTCACTCTACCATCGCTCCCCTACCTCAACCAGAGCTCTTGTTCATGGTGCTGGTGGTGGGGTGGGTGTCATGCGGCAGAGTGATAGCTCACCATAGCAGCTATCCTTCCTCTCCCTGCACCCTCTCTCCCATCCCTCCCCCACCTCTTCCAGAGCCCATGTTCATGGTGCTGTTGTTGGTATGGGAGCCATGCGGCGCAGTGATGGCAACAGCCCTCTCTCTCAACCTCTGAATTCCGCCCTTCATTCGGAGGCATCACTCAATTTTACGTTTCCAATCCACCCGTCCGTCATAGGTTCATTTCGCCGTGGGGCGGGACCGGATGTGCCTAGAATGGCCAGACGATGCCATAGACTTCTACCCAACGCTCGAACAGCGCCTTCAGGTTTTGTATCAGGTTATCAGCGAGACGCACATAATTAAGCTGATGCAGCTGCGAGAGGCTATGGAAGACAAAAACATCGTCGACGGCTTCAAACGCGCTTGGACGTCATGGAAGAACGATCGTGGCTTCCACCTCAAGCGCAGAGTGCTTGTAACTTTCGGCAAGAAGGTGCAAGGCCTGCGTGCAGCCGATCTCTGGATGGGCACCAAGAAGAAGAAGATGTGAAGAAAATACCAACCGAGTGAGTACGCGCGTTTCTGTTTTACTTCACCATTCATTTCATCTACTCGTGCACCCCTCGTGACGATGATGAACAACTTACCCTAATGCATCCCCACTGTGGCACGCAACTACATACCTGCTCTCCTTGCCCAGGCTTGTAGCGCATGTGTAGTCACATCCGCATGACAGCTTAACGTTGGTTCTTCTCCCACTCTCCCCTTCTCCCGCCCCCCCTTTAATCTACAGCTCTCCCCTTCCCTCCCGCCATCCCGTTCTCTCCCTCCCTCCATTTCTCTTCAGCCCTCCCCTTCTATCCCGCCCTCCATGTCTCTCCTGCCCTCCCCCTCTCCCCTGCCCTCCCCTTCTCTCCTGCCCTCCCCTTCTCTCCCGCCCTTCACTGCTCTACTGCCCTCCAGCCAACCCTCCATTCATTCTAAACCGCCCTCCACTTCGTCCATACCCTTTGGACAACCCCTAAACCATGTCGTGCATGATCTTCGTCCCCGCCTTGTCCTGCGTGCGCGCAGGAGGGAATCAACGGGTCAGCTCGTGGGGAAACAGCAGAGACGGGCTCCTGTTTGCCAACGGCCGGTTTGTAGATGCGGTCCGGGAAGCATTTCGGAATCTCTGTGTCGGGCGCCGGGTGTGCGTCAAAGCCTACCACATTGCCTGGTCAATGATGGTGGTAAGGCATTATTGCTCTCCCGTCACTTTGCTCTAGCTTTGCTTGCAATTCTTGCCCGCCAGACTGGAATGTGGGGCTATTTGCGCAGCCCGTGAACTCTACACGCGAGTGTCCACATATGTCTCTATTTCCCCTCTTTCCCATACTTTGCTACACTTTTTCAGATTGACCAGGGCTTGGCAAAGGTTAAGAAGACCGACTGGAACGTCTCGAACTCCCACCGGAAGAACACCGAGTGGATGACGGGTTTGCACCGAAATGTGCGGTGGATTATCAAGGACCACTTCACACGCCACACCCCCGTGTACAACACAGTCGTGCAGGGCTTCAAGTGGGGCGATCGTGGCCTGTATGTTCACGAGTCAGGATTTGAGGCGTTCAAGGGGACGGCCGCGCCTGACGAGGAGAAGAAGGACTTGAAGGAGGAAGAGCAGGAGGTGTACGACGCGGATGACTTGAAGACGGATGACGAGGAGGATGACGAGGATCAGGAGGAGGACGAGGAGGAGGAGGAGGAGGAGGAGGAGGAGGAGGAGGAGGAGGAGGAGGATGAGGAGGAGGAGGAACAGTGGGGGCAGGAGCGGAGGAAGAGCAAAAGGCACAAGAGATGCAAAAGCAGGGGAGGCAAGAGGGATGAGCAAGAGGATGAGGAGGAGGAAGAGGAGGAGGATGTGAAACGGGGGGGGCGAGAGATTAGGAAGGGCAGAAGGCAGAAGAGAGGGAAACTCAGGGGAGGCAGGGGGGAAGAGGAAGAGGGTGGGGAGGAGGAGGAGGGGGAGCAGGAGGATGAAAATCATAGGGGGCAAGAGAGGAGGAAGGGCAGAAAGCACAAAAGAGGCAGAGGCAAGGGAAGCAGGAGGGAAGAGGAAGAAGAGGAAGAAGTGGAAGAGGAGGAAGAGGATGAGCATGAGGATGAGAAGGGGGGGGACCAGGAGCGAAGGAGGGGCAAAAGACACAAGAGTGGCAAACGCCGGGGAGGCAAGAGGGTCAAGCGATGGGGCGACTAAACAAGGGGGGCAGCAGATGAGGCATGAGTGGAGTTTACAAGGGGGGGGCAGCAGGTTAGGCATCACACACTTGCGAGGAGACATCAAAACGGAGGTAGAGGCATTGGTGGAGACAGCAAGGGGGGCAGCACGCCAGGCAAGAAAGTAGAGTCAGCATGGGGGGTAGCACGGGCGGCAAAAGCGTGGAGTCAGCAAGGGGGGCAGCAGTAGAGACAATGTGAGGAGTGTCCAAGGGTGGGCAACCAGCAAGGCAACCAGATAGTGCAAGAGGGTGCAGCAGAAAAGGCATGAGTTGAGAGAGTTGGGGGGGCAGCAGAAAAGGCACGAGCAGATAGAGGGGAGTGCACAAGGGGGGCAGCAGGTTAGGCATGACTGGAGCAAGCAGCAGTAAAGGCATGATTGGGGAGCGCCAGGGGCGGAGCAGCAGACGCATGAGAGGGCAGAGCATGCAATGAAGCAGTGGACGCAGGGGCACGCTCGACCTAGAGCACCAGAGATGGGGTTCGGTGGAAGACATAGCGTTCTGGAGCATGCTAAGCAGGTCGTAGGATGATGCAGCTCAACCTAACTGACTAGGCACAGAGGGTTTAGGATGCTGTTTTATGTGCGTTTTTAGGGTGGAATTATCAGCTTTTACCAAAGCTTCTGTACTGTTCATTTTGAATGCAAGATTGAGGCAACTTAACATAGTTTTAAATTACATATAAGGTCGTGCAATTCTCCTACATAAGCTTATTTTAATGAGCCCGAAATTCCATAAAGAGTACATTGCAATGAGATCCGATCTTTGAAATTGTTTTGCGGAAACTTGTACCAAACTTCTTCCGAAGGTGTTCACCTGGCAAGTTTGAACAGAAAAGCATTGGAGAAGCATTTGAAAAGCGTTTGATAAAGCATTTGGAAAGCAACCTATACTTTCTCAAAAAAGCGTTCGAAAAACGTCGTTCAAGAATCATTCGACAAAACTCCAAAGCAACTTTTTTCATCGGTTTTCCGGATGCAGGATTTTTGCGATGTTGGACATGAGAGTACTGCGTGAAGAAAGAAGGAAGTTGGAGCAAGACATCAGAGCGGAACTGGCAATGAAGAGGGAGGAGAGGAGAAAGGAGGTGCAGGAGTTGGATTGGCCACGTGTCATGGACGAATTGGCAGCCTGCGAGGAATGGCAGAGGATACAAGAGTCGAAGCTGAACGTTGAGCTCGAGATTAGCCAGAGTGAAGGCGATCAGAAGATTGCATGGCAGGTAAGTGCCTTAGTGAACAATTTGATAGAAAATGCATTTTTTGCTCTTGTTCACAATGATAACTCATTTGTGTCATTCATTCCCTCTTCATCCATCACCTCCAGCGAATCAAGGCAGCATCACAACGAACGGATCTGCGCCTGAAGAATCTCCACGGCCTCTCAGACGCCATGCTTGCCCATGTGTCCACAATGACGCATCTGAAGAGCATTAACTTAACCTCTACATCAGGCTTCAGTGCAGAGGGCATCAAGCACCTCTACAGGCTGCCACGGCTGGAAATGCTACTTCTCGACCACACAGATGTGTCAGACAGAGCCTTGGAAGGCATTGGGTCCTTGACCAGCCTTTAGAAGCTCTATCTCTGGAAGACCAACGTGAGTGATGCTGGGCTCGTGCACTTAACAGCTCTGTCCTCTCTCAAAGAGCTGAACCTTTCCGAATGCAAGTGTATGACTGCTTCTGCCATGGTGGAAGTGCGAAGGTTGTCAGGGCTCCAGGGACTTTGGCTACATGAGACGGCAGTTACAGATGATGGGCTGCATCAGCTGACGGGTCTCTTCTCTCTCAAGGTGCTAAGCGTTTCCAACTGCAAGGGTGTGACGGATGCTGGCATGGTACATGTTGGGAGGTTTATAGGGCTTGAGAGGCTTGATGTGGAGCATTCGTCAGTAACGGATGATGGGCTGCAGCAGCTGACTGCCCTGACCAAGCTGACATCTCTCTATACGCCAGAAGGGGTTCAGCTTTATGACGATGATGTGCGCAGGCGGATAGGCATGTAAGGTGGCCGGAAGTGATGACGGAAAGGGAGGACGTGTCTGTGTCTTGGTAGGGACGACTGAGGAGGGGAGGAGTTCATCCGGAGGAGTCAGGAATGGAATGGTGGTCGTGCACGGTTCAACTTGCATGCTGCAGAGTGCCGGGGGATGGTGTGTGGAGTTTGTGCTTTGCAATTGGACAGAGGAAGATGCAGGGCTCGTTGGTCAAGAGACCGCCGTGTGCACGAGGGAAGCTGCATAGAAAATGCCTGCCTGGCACTTATACTTGAGGGGAAGCGGTTAGAAGCAGGGCGGACAGAGAAGGGAAACGGGGGGTAGGGGAGGCAGGAAAGCTGGGAACAAGGGCGAGGAAGATGCAGCGAGGGAGGTGAGCATGGTGGGGGAAGCGGCAGTGGCAGCAGTGGCGGCAGCAGCCGTGGCGGCAGCAGCCGTGGCGGCAGCAGTGGTGGTAGCAGCGGTGGCAGCGGCATCCGTGGCGGCAGCAGCAGTGGCGTGCAAGGGTTGGGATCAGGGGTGCAATGGCTGGAATGGCTGCATGAAGGGAGCTGCATAAGAAATGACTGGTTGTTGAGTGCAGGGTGTACAAATTTATTGACAGAGGAGAGGGTATAGCGTGTATGGTGGAGCTTGAATGGCAAGCCTCATGCCATGTGCATTGCTTTTGCTGCTTCAAGGAAACTGGGTGTGCAATGAGTATTTGTGCTCGCAGATAAATGAGTAGCTGTGATCGCAGATAGGTGGGATGGGGGGCGAGTGTCATGATGGGGGAATGGGGGATTGAGCAACACCGGTATTGAGGAAGAGAGGCTTGTATGCAATGAGTGTGGATAGAGTGGAGGTGCGTGCAAGGTGGTGGCTGGGTGATGCGTTGCTTGTGCACAGCTGGGGGTAAGCTAATGGTTGTGAACTTGAGCTTTGATCTCAACAATGTGTACAACTGTGTAGGTGACATAAACAGATGCATGCGATTGAGGTTCAATTAGTCTCCCTCCTGACGTTGGTTGTAGGATAAAATGCTTTGTTGTCCACTTTAATATGCATCAAACTTTTTCATCTTATATTATCTATACATTTGTATCAGGCATGTGCAGCAGGGTTTCGGGTAGGGGTTGAATTGAAGGCACACATTCTGCTGCAGCACCCAACCACATGGCCCATCACTGGCATGCAGGAGGCAAGTAAAAAATAAAAATAGTTCAAAATCAAGTCAGTATGGCTCCATGGTTTAGCCATGTGATGTTTGGTTTCAAAATGCATGTCTGGCATTTGGTATACCGTAAGACAACAGAATCCCAACCGCCGCCACAATTGGAATGCCTTACTGCAGCCCCACGCTCCACCCACCCGATGCACCCCCCTGTGTTTGGTAAACTAGTGACTCGGTTTCTGCTGCTGTGTGGCACCTTTCTGACATCTCTCTGAGCTGAATAGGATCATTCTACAACTGAGAGAGGGGCAGGAATAAGTGGGGGGCACGCATGAGAGGGCAGAGACCGAGGAATGCAAAAGTGACCCATAAACAGATATGTAGCATGAAATGATGTATGGGTTGAGGTATGGGACTGGGTAATGGATAAGGCTTGTGAATGGCGATGAGGGGGAGACAATGGTAGTGGAACCGTTGATGATTGAAGCGGTGTTGAGCGAAGACTTATATGGGTGGGGCTGAAGTGACAGGTGCGATGGTTGAAGCTGGGTGAGTGGAGAACCTGGAGATGGTAGAACGAAAGACAAGGGTGGAAAGTGATATGGAAAGGGGATACGGGATGGAAAATGGAGGGGTTGAGAAGTACGGGAGGAGGTTAGGTGAGGGGGAGGAGGGGAATGGGGAACGGGAGGAAGAAAACGGAGGGGCGTAGGTGATTGGAAGGATCTATGCGACAGTGGTGATGATATGACATACGAGGAGTCCGGTGTGTGTGTGTAAACGGTTAAGATGGTGTTCCAAGGATTGTAAACATCCACATTTGACAAGGAATAAACTCAGACATGCACTTAACCTGGCAGGAACTCAAACATTTCTTGAAGTGCCTAAAATTTGGGGAAGACTCGGCTACAGCAGTCCAGCCGGTAAGAAGTTGCCCCAATAGAGCAGTTGCCCCAATAGAGCAGTTGCCCCAATAGAGGAATTGCCCCCGTAGCAAGAATCAGCAGCACTAAGAGCGCCCCCAATGAATTGAGGCATGTGTAAGTTGATACAGTTGTCGAGCTGACGGGAGACAGGAGGGGTGGGGAAGAGGGGAGGGGGGAGAAGAGCGGCCGGGAGGAAGGGGGGAAGAAGGAAAGAGATATGGTTGAAAACTGGGGAGCGGGAAGAAGGTCGCACAGAGGTGTGGCATATGTGAGTCAATGCCGATGTCTAGATGGTGTGGAGCAAAGGTAAGGGGGGCAGGGGGGAGGATAGGGAGGAGGGGAGACGAGACACGAATGAAGAGGGGAGTAAGGCCGATAGTGTGCCCATCTTCTCGGTTTCACCGAATGAATCACAAGTCGCAACAACAGATGCAGGCCGTCAACTATGCCGCTCAACACTGCCCCAACCCCACCACCGCCCATCAACCCCCTTTCATATTCACCTGGCGGCCCTCTCTGCTGCAGCAACGTAGAGTGTGGCTGTGACAAGGCAGAAAGGCACTGGTTGTCGATCTTGGACTGTTCCCAGGTGAATGTGATGAGAGGGGATGGGGGTGAGAGGGGATGGGGATGAGAGGGGATGGGGAGGGACCGGCAGGGAGCGGGGAGGGGAGGGGAAGCGTAAGGGGTCGGGGGAAAGGGGAGGGAAAGGGGAGGGAAAGGGGAGGGTATGGGGAAGGGAACGGGAACGGAGGAAGGGGAGGCGGAGGGGATGGAAGATGGGGATGAAGGGGAAGGTAAGGGAGGGGAAGGGGAGGGGAAGCGGATGGAGTGGAATGGGAGGGGAGGAGGGTGGAAGGGGAAGGAAAGGGGGGGGGAATGGGGAGTAAAGAGTAAGGAA